TGTAGCAATGCGGGTAGCCATCACATTCAAACATGCATCACCCTTGCGAGTGTTTTCCTCATCACCAAAAAGGTTCTCTAGAGCCTTCCCGTTATCAGTTATGAAGCCCTTTAGTGAAGAAAATGAATGTTAGCTTGATAGCCTGACAAATTTAACATCAATTAAGAAAAACTAGCCAGATGTTTGTTCATATAAGCCCAACTAGGTAATTACAAATATAATATATAAGCTTCATCCTATGAAAAATAAAAGACGCCGCTTAAAAGTCAAGGTTAAAGTATTAGAAATCATATCCTTCCCAAGATATTGCATGCCAGTGGTTAATAGAAGTATTTGACTAAGTCTTTCAAACTTAAAAGCAAGGCTTTATAATATTGATTTTTCACCAAAATTTGCATCTCAAAATGTAACCCTGATGTTTTTCTGTGAGTTCCAAGCAAATCTAAATTAAATGATCCTCAAAAAGATATGGAGGCATCAGTTAGCCCATTATATATGCTTTTTTGATTTGGAAAAAAGGCTAACAACCACTATTTTAATTGAATTTATGCAACTTTAATTCTGACTATCTGTAGCTTTTGTAAGGTATTCAACTTAGTGACCAAAGCAAATACCTGGCTGTCTATTGCAAAGTACTCCAAGTTCATCTGCATATGCAAGCAGAAAAAACAATGAGCACCAACTGACAACTCAATGATCAATTGAAGGAAAAAGAAAAAAGAAGACAAAGCAATGTGACTATTTGCACAATCATTGCTTCATGCAATGACCAAGCTGAAGAACAAAAACCTAACCTCACTCAATGCACCTATGCGAGGCAAGACACTAGAATCTTTCTTGATATGTGCAACCAGTTCTCTTGGCATAGGTGAACTGAAGTAAACAAATGCCCTTTTTTCCAAATACCAAATAAATATATATCAGAAGCAGTAATATACTCAGAATTCAGGATACATAACCACACATGTAAGGAAAAATACTGAGAAAAAGCCTTGCACATACTTCTTATATAAGGGTGTCCTTCCAGACATGTCTGACAATAACATAACAACACTGCAAAAGTAAATAAGTGCATAAATAAAGGTGAGGAGAAAAAAATACTTCAAGAGAAATAGCTTAATGTTATGTGTCATATAAGACTCACATAAATGGTTCTTTTAAAATTGATCGACAGAACCACATCTTGTGCAAAAATATACATTCGTGCAAGAATCACTAAAAGGGAAAAATTTTAATTAGAAAACACATCAGATTTATTTCTGATATCAGAAATATGACATGAGGTCATCTAAGATATAGGTAGTCAAAACTATGAAAGTCAAAATAGTATGGGCAAAATACCAGATATGGTTTTTGCTGTGCTCCTGTAAATGTTACACATGAGAGTATATCAGTTCATTGTATCAATAATTATTATTTTAGGAAAGATGTCGGTTTGTTATTATTAGGATAAGTTTTTTATTATTTTACGATGAGAATTACTAGAAGCGCATTTATTATTATTAGGAGATTCTATTTATTAGTATTACGTGTTCTTAGAGGCCTTTCCTTAGTAGGATCGATTGTTTAGTAAGTCTTTTATTCAAACAATGCATGTAACCTCTATTTAAAGAGGCTGATTTGCATCAATAAAATTTAAATCAGTATTTTATCAAAAACCCTAAATATCTTGGTCTCAAGAATAAAGGGAAGGTCATTACTTCAAGAGTCCCTGTTAATCGCCCGATGAGTCAATCCATTAGTCAGGCCATAACAGTAAAGTTAAACAAGAATAACAAGAGGGAGGAATATGGACTAAAACGTGACCAGCTACATAAAACCCCAGCCCAAAGAGAGGGGGGCATCCTACCCCAAATAAAGGCTTAACCATTGAAACTCAGTAAAGGGAAGATACATTACTTCTCTTTGGTTGGTTGAATGAAGTATATAGCATCCATTGATGGCAATGGCTGCCTACGTCTGTATATGTCTTCTACCACTGCACAACAAGTACAGAATCATTAAACTAGCAGGACAAAATTGATCCTTAAAAGTTCAAGATTCTAAGCTTGTAATGATCTAGTTCTACAGCCAGTTAGACCAATTGTTATGAAACCATACAGAGGACCAAAAAAACGTAGCTTACATGAAACTCCTTCTGATGTGATGTCAGCCATCTTGCAAGAGTAAGACATTATCTTAACCGTAACTTTGTCCATGATTAGTACCTGCATAGAACAGATTGGAAATCAAGAGAAATAAGAATGGCATTTCTAGTAACTAGTAAAAAGTAGGAACAAAGCAAAATCAAGCTAATAAATGGCCTAAAAGAATCACAACGAGAATAGCATACCTTCCAAGTAGATTTTGAATCCTTCACTTTTGCAGAACGAAGCATTTCATATAATAATCCTTTACATACATCAAATTTATAAAAACATGAAATCAGTCAAAACGCCAAAAATTAATCAGCAACAAGATCACCCTAAAAGGATGCATGAATGTATAAATAAAATACAATACACATTTTAAATAATACAATAACCTTGAAAGCAAAGGAACAGCAAACACTAGAGGAAGCCTAGGCAGAAAACTTAGGTTTCCGCAATAAAGCGTTTGACCCAGGGGCAATGACATTTCTAAGTTCAGGCATCTCCCCTTGACTCTACTGATTTTAACTTCTCAATCCTATTTCCTATTATGCATATAATTCCTTAGCGGAATACTCTTATAAAAAAAATAATCAATAATAGGTCACGCAAAAAGTCTCTCTTCAAGTCATCAGAAATATCATTCTTAAAATAGTTTTCAGCAACAAAAAAAAATGAAAATGAATATAATACCGGAATTTTCTCAGTGTTTTATACATCAAAATAAGGAATGGAAAACAAAACACAGCAACCCAAATTAGTCATGAAAAGGTCACGATGTCGTTTTTCTTTTTCCATTTTTTCCTTATTTTTGAAGTAAATTTTTTTATCAAAATAAGAGGGCTTCTTAAGAAGCAAAAATTTTCAGTCAAATATGAAAATCGTTAGTTGTGGAACTAGTCCTTGAGAATAAACTTAACAGACGAACTAATTCCGAAAAACATTCAGTTGAAATTTTATGACTAAGTCAAATTATTACTAACGATTGTCAACGAGATAGATTTAGCAAAATGATTACAGAATATTGATGTTTGAGCTTTAAACTGGATTGAAAAAGAAACTTTAAACAAAGAGACATAAGAAGCACTTACTTTCTCGGGTGATTTGCCTGAAATTCTTGTAATCACCAGCGCTGGAGGAAGAGTCCGAATCTGAATACGACATCGTTTCTGAAACCTCCGATGAGCCGATCCAGTAAAACGGAAAGCCGGAGAGAAAGAGATCGTGGAGTAATCAGAGGAGAAAAGGTAAAGGGAAACAAAGAAAGAAAGGGGAAAGAAACGGGGTCTTTATTTTTCGCTTTTGACAATTAGAAGTTAATTATATAATTAAAGATTAAAAGGGGAAAAGGCAAGTTATGTCATTCTATTTAGGTTAAACTATCGAAATGATAGCTTTGTTTCACAAATGTTAACTTTTGATCATCAAATTAAAAAAAGGTAATATTTTGATCACTTACTATATCTTATCCATTTATAACATTATCAATTTATAATATGTTGGTCACTAAAACGTTAAATGTAGTTCGATGACGAGGCATGTGAGTAAATATGATATTTTTTAATTTGATTCTTGAACTTTAGATAAAATATTGATTTGACTCATAAATTTTAGATAAAAATATTAATTTGACCCCTAAAAATTATATAAATATCAATTTAACTCATAAATTCGACCAAAGTCCTTGTCTTCTGTCAACATCGACCGCAATTGACCATTATCATCAACGATCGTTGGACCATAAAATTTCTAATTTACTCTTTTTTTAGCTTTCTAAATGCGAATTTAATATATATTCCATTGAATAATACCATAAATTCCATAAATCTATCATATAAACCTTATGAACTCATCAAGCGGCCTTAGTGGTAAAAAGAGAGTATTATTCTCCTTAAATATCTTATATTCGAACAGTTGTTTTAGTAGAGTGTGTGCACGTTGTTAATAGATAAGAAAGATTTTATGCATAGCCACAATTTCACTCATTTTCCTGTCACAAAACTTGCTGAACTCCTCATTGAAATACTTGGTGCTCTTATTCAAGACCTCCACCCATGTGAGACCCTGTAAATAATTGAATGACCCGTGATGGGCTTCGCAGAGGTCGATGGGGTTCAATATCTGGTTTGCTGCATTCTTGTGAAACCCAGTGGACTTGGAGTCTTCAAAGAAAGCATTGTTCAACAAGGCTTGGAGGTAAAGAAGAACGCTTTTGGGGTTCTTCGAGTGAGAAACCTTCATATCATAAGGCTGTAATAGCAGAGATATTCTGTTGTAAACTTTGCTACACATTTGCCTTAACTGCATGCTGAGTGATGGACTTAAGAAGTCTGATTGAAGACCTAGATATCAAGAATTGTTGCATCACCTTTTCATTTGCTCCAATGACCTCATCTATATCATTCTTCAGATGATGAACATTATGAGCTTTACCCATCCTATAAGGAGAGTTGCTGTACATTCGTCCAGACCTAACTTCAGGTCCGACTGAAGGATTGACCAATCGAAAGCTGAAACGCAGCCACTGCTATAATACTTACAATCAATCCAAGAGCAAAATCGAGAAAACAAAACCAGCAGCGGAAGAACATCAGCTTCTAAACCATTGGTGAAAGATACCATGATGAACACTTTCAGTAAACTTAACCAGAAAGATGAACTATAAAGGAATGATGAAAAATGAATAAAGGGTAAAAATATATGAATTGTGTAAAATCTACTTCAAAACTATCAGTAATTTGATTCAACCAGGTGATTGGATCTGGAAACTTCTAAACAACTTTCAGGTCTAGATTCCTGTACAAGTCAGTAGTCAAGACCAAGGGATTTGCATACAATTAATACTTTTCCTCTTCTAGAAATAAGATTGTTCTATTTTCGTATGACCTATTCTTCCACGGATTGTCGATCAACCTGTTTGATCCACCGTCTTTGGCTTTTGTCTGAAACTGAATTTCCCCCGCTGGTGGCTACATGAGCAATATCCAAGCCTTTCCCTACCGGAAGAAACACGGAGCGGACGAGCTGTCGTGAACCATCATCTATAACACTTCTCCATTTGAAACTCGAAGCAGTTTTGGAATTAACATTCTTGCATACCAGAACTGCCCCTCGGTTACTCAGTTTCGCCAGCCTTAATACCCTGGAAAAGTCCTTTCGTTGGCTATCCACCAACATGAAATCTATGCCGTTTAATCTATTCACTACTTCCTCTGGTTCCCCGACGATGACCTCCGGTCGTGACATACCGGCTTCTTCCAGGGCCTCAACGTATGCTAATCTTGATCGTTCATCGGGAACCATACATACATGTCTTCCGTTTGTATGGCCGCTAGCAACCGCCAGTCCGACGCTTGTTGCGGTGGCGCCACCCTGTGACCATGTCTCCACGATGAATTTCGCGTTCCAGCCTGCTGCCATGGCCGAAACAAGCTCTGCTACACCGGATTCATGATAAATTTCACACTACAAACACAAAAAAGAGAAATCCATCAGCAATCAAATGAGTGAACATCAAGGCATCAGAATTTAGAAGATTGATTGATGCTTACAGATTTAACAGTATCAATATAAGCCTTGGATGCTGTCTCCGGAGACCAAACTAGCTTCATTTCTTCCTTCAATTACCTGGGTTTTTCTCTCTTATGATCGCTTTCGAGTTGTGCTTTTCTTGTTTGACAATCTGAAATGGAATGAAAAGGTTTAGTGGGTGTTGCTTTATATATGAGACAGAGAAAAATGTTGGTAAATGGAAACTGATTTGATTTGTGTTGTGCTGTGGGAACGTTGACATTGTTGGCCTGACAAATCCAACGTGCGGCGGATTTGGATTCCTATGGATTATTAGTATTAACCTTATTTTTTTCAACGGCCTGGCTTTAAGCTAATGCTGTCCTGTTGGCTCTGAATTATTGTTAAACCAATTTAATAATTTATTTGGACATAAACTATAAAATTTAAAAAATATTAAAAAATATTTTATATACTTTTAATAATCAAATTACTGAGATTAATTCCACCTTTCCTATAGATCATAAAATTTTAATTTAATCAAAATATATAAAAATGTAAATACTTATTTTTATAAGTCATCAATTTGTATAACTAAATTATATAGGTGTATTGTTTTCCAAATTTTAATAGCTTAAATATGAAAAGGGATATTACATAATCCTCAACTATGCCTGTAGTCATCCCACCACCGGATCCATTCATAAAATATAATAAAAATCTCAAGTGGGTTTAAATGTAAAAGGATTGTTGAAATGAGTACCACAAATAAAACAGAAAGTATTTTGAGTGATGGGGACCACATGAAACATCCAGGAGTAGATGAACGGAAGAGTCAAATTTGAAGATTTCCTCGCACCGTTTTTCCGACCGTGAGACGCCGTGACCGAAGAGCAGCCGTACCATAAAGGCAACAGTATAAAACAGTTACATCAATATATATTATTTTATTTAAATCGAGTTGTACAATTCATTTTTACAAAACAATTATTCTTATTATATCATCAAATAAAACATTAACGTCCTAGGTAAAAGAAATATTCATACTATGAATGAGACTATATTACATTAACGGAATATGAAGCAAAGTTGGAGACCTCTAACACCGGTGTGCTTTGTATTACATGTCGAGCTTTGGGCAGTTCTGGATGGCCTGACTGTAGCGTGGGAGCGTGAGGCAAGAGATGTTGAAGTTGAAGTCGACAATAGCCAGTCAATTCCTCGAGCCAGCTGCATGAAGTAACCATCATTAGCAGGATATGTGAGTTCCTAAAGCTTCAGTGGAATATCAAGTTTGTCTATGTCAACCGATAAGTGAACAAGACTGTCGATTCGTTAGCTCATTTTGGGCGTACAAGTACTCTGGAACTAACAATCCTGTCTTCCCCTCCCGCTAGTATTAAGAGCCTTTTGGACAAGGATAGAGCTGTTGCTAATGAATAATTCACTGCCTAGCAGTTTCTTTGTAACCAAAAAAAAAAAAAAATGGCTTGCACCGATATCTACACCTTGAACGAAGAAACAAGATATTACTTTTTTTAGTCCAATATTCAGAATATTGCAAATATTGACTCGTTGAATCTTTATTTTTATTAAGATATTTTATCACAATTTTTTCAATCAAAATATTTAAATAAATTTGAATTTATTTAAATTTCCGGATGAGTGATTTAAAATTACAGACATTTTAGTCCATCATCATATTAGATAATGTATTTGAACTTCTCGCATAAAATTGGTATGAATCAATCTGACGTCAGAAATTACATAAATATGTTTGCAGGGGAAAATGGGACATGTAATCGAGGGTATGTGAAGTTCTTCCATGAGCGAAAGATTTAATTTTTTTATAGTTTAATGTGATTATAAAGTAATATATGTATAGATTTTTTTAATTAATTGAGACCGTGTACATCATCTAGACATACATGTTCAAACTTATAATTTTTAGGAAAAATAATATTTATTTTTATCACTAAAATTATCTAATAGATTAAAAAATATAAACTTTTACCATTTTTAAGTTTAATTACATGAGAAGGTCTTTAATCTGACACCATATATTATATAAGTTTGATATCATTAGAACAATTGCGTAGCTTTGGAAGAAAAATTACTTCATATGATTTCAATAGAAATGTATGTTCATGTCATATAATTTTCTCATAATCGTACCATAGTATCTTCATTTGACTCGAAAGCCATGTTTTGAAAACCGGACCGCACCAGTCGGTTCAATCGGTTCAATTAGGAATCGCTGTCAAGTCCGATTCATTCTAACCCGGTTAAACCGTTACTAGTAAACCGCAAGGAACCGCTGAACCGACTGTGAACCGTTCGAACCGAAACCGCTAAGAATCAACCATCAATAAAAAAAAATTAAAAAAGTTAAAATTTTTATTTTGAAGGTTAATCAACTTTTGTTTTGGTTTTAATGTGTAATGTTTGGAGATTTTTATTAGAAGTAAATCAAGTAATGAATGATGGAATTTTGGTGTTGTATTTAAGTATTATAGTTGTGGGGATATTTTTAGTTTTTTTATTAAATGTTTTTGATATTTTTATTTAATTTTTTAAATAATTATGACGTCGTTCAGTTCTTTCGACCAGTCTAATCGATTGAACCAGTGAACTAATAGCACAATCGATTCGCTGATCGATCCGATTCTGAAAACCATGCTCCAAAGAACCGATCCAAGCTCGTTTTGACTTTTCAACCGGTTTGCTTGCCAAACCGTATAACTCCGCTTCTTCGCTGACGTGGAAGTTTTGATAGGTTAGGGTACGATGTTGACGTCCACTTACATTAATAACTTAAAATTACGTGAACACACAAAATATCACTTCACCAATTTTTTTATGCCTTAAAACTGAAAGATTTAGGCTTTAGAATAACCTGCATGAATAAATTCCCAGTCAATAACTAGTTATTAATTAAATTTAATTATCATGTCTGCTACCTATATATTCTCCTTGAAGACATCTGTAAACTATATATTTAAAACAGAAATTTTAGTGGGAATCAGATTTTTGGTACGAGATTTGTGTTAAAAACTATAAAGTAGTAAAGTTCGGTATTGAAATCGAATATTCGGATCGAATCAGAATTTTACGAAAAATTTATGGATGTTAGGAAATGGTTGGAAGTATTATTTTCATATTTTAGATCAAAGAAATTTTGCTCAGAACAGTGCAATTTTTCAGATTTGACCGAAATAGTGAAATTTTAGTGACTAGAATGCAATTTTTGAAAATTGCATGGACAAATTCAAAATTCAAAGCCAAGTTTATTCATTTTTGACCAATGAATATTTTAATGGAAGATAATACAATGACATTTGGTAATTTTCAAGATTTATTAATGGTATTTTTGAGATTTTTCATTAATTAAATATTAAATTCAATTAATTGGAAATTGTCATGTGTTTTATCTTTTAAATGCTAAAATATTCAACACAATTAAGCCATTATCAGCATTCAACGTCTTCAAGGCAGAGACTCCAAGTTCTCCAAGGTAAGAATTTTTATTTGGATTTTTTAAGCAATATACTTTATTTTTGGATTTAGTTATTAGATAGAGAATTAATCTACATGAAATTCTCTATTATTTGGTATCAATATTTCATGGTGAAGATGATGATGTGATGAGATTTCATGATTAAGGTTTAAGGAGGTTTAGTGATCTTGAAGAATTGATGAAGGATTTTTATGTTTTTGATGTTAGTGATTATTTTTAAAGCATGTATGATAGTTAAAATTAATTGTACATGTATAAATAAGGTTTGGTCATGTTAGGGATTATGAGAATGATGAGATTTTGATTCAATTTAATGTTGTTATGATTGGAAATGCATGAATTTAATCCTAGGAGGTTGAATTCATGGTTGAATATGAACAAAAATTTCCCTAAATGATTTAGAGGTATTCAACCATAGGAAATAAATCTGGCAGTGAGTTTGAAAATTCGTCAGAAATTCTATAAAAATTATTTGGAGATTATTTTTATATATTGTGTTCGTATATAAATCTAGTTTTGTTTAAAACAAACGAAGATCAATTTCAAGGTGTATAAAAAATATGAAATTTTAACCGAGGAAAGATTAGAAAAACGGGCAGCAGATTCTGCACAAAACAGATTCTGCCAGTCAACTTTGAAAATTCACCATAAATTGTACATAATGAATTAGAAGGAGTTTTTTATATGGATAGATTCATATTCGATTCTAGTTTTCAAAAGAAGAAACATAATTAAATTTCAGAGTGTATATCAATACATAATACTGATTCTTTAAAGGTAGTGCTAGTTATCTAAATATGGAAATTTTTTGAATTTAAGTGGAAATGGATTAGAAGCTAAAGAGTAATGTTTAAATGTTGAGTATATTTTTGGATTCTTGTAATTGAATTTAAATGGAAAGAGACCATTTTGAATAAATTGGAAATGTTGAGAAGAATTCTAAAAGAATTCATTTTAATGGTTAGTTGGTGGAATTCGAAAGGTCCCAAAACTTTGGGGACTTGTTTGCAAGTTCTTAAATGAAGAAATATTATTTTGGGTATTTTATTCAGGTGCTGGAATTTTAGTAATTAATATACAATTATTATAATGGTGAAGGATCATTATGAATCAAAGGAAAAGTTGAGTTGAATTCTAGAAAGAATTTAAAATATGTGGTTTGAAGTTATAATGGAGTTATGAGTTTAGTTGATATCGATTTAGTTATCGATTTTATTTTATAGATTTCAAATGTTAAAATGAGCTTATATTAGTATGATACTAATATGTAGTTCAAACATTTTGTGTTGTAATTTGGTATTGTCATACTACGATAAATCTAACAATCCGAACGATCCGAAAGGAAATGACAAAGCTCGTGACTAAGACTATTGTATAAGAGTTCTGTAGAGAGGCAAAAGTGAGTGCAATTATTTATTTAATTATTTTGATCGAGGACTACTTGCGATAAGTCAACCTCATTCCTATTTACAACATGATTTATAAAGTTTATAAATCATATTTTTATAATATTGTTTATCAGTTTTATGAATGATTTAGGGTATGAACTACCCAAGCATGATATTTTGATTATGGATTTAATTATTGTGCATGAACCCATTGTATGTATAATGAGAATTACTGGTACACTTGATATGCCATTAGTTGA